GATGGCGGTGCCTTCAGAGCTGTTAACTTGCTCATACCGGTATTCAGCAGCTCCGCCCTGCCTTGTCTCTCTTGAAGATCTGTAGCTAATTAACCCGAAACCCAAACCACATTCTTTCTATTCGGATGAATCATTCTGAGGCCATAGGCAATGACCAGCTTTATGCTAATGCTTCCTCTTTCATGTGGGTGAGACACAGCTGATGGTTCCCATACATGCGTCTGAGATTCATCGGCAAGCCAGATGCTTGAGGACAAACATGCACAGAGGATATTGGCTCCGTAGGGTGCTCCGACAGTGGGAATGTGCTGTTTTCTGCCTTTCCCTTTCCTCGCTCCTGTGACTCAAATCCGGTTTGAATCTCTCATCCCAGTGACGGGGCCAGCCCAAGGCTCAACAGACAAGGGCTGTGGGGTCTGCCTCGTGCGGTGCCTACGTTGTTCGCTGCTTCTGGGCCCGTGGGATCTGGCAGAGGATAAAAGCCAAACCCTCTTGGAGCTGGTAGCGTTGGAGCGTGCGACGCACGGTCCCTGGCTCTGGCACAGCCTCGCACGCACAGGAGGCTCGAACACGGCAGGGATCGCTTTGTTACGGGGCTCCATGTACGCAGGAGCGTGAAAAACCCTCGTTTTGCAGCACGACGTAGACGTGCCTTTCCCGTGTCGGAGCGGCAGCTGGTGCCTTTTCGCTGCACGGGGCACGGTGTGTTGCTAGGCCTGAAGTTATCCCAGGGGACTGTGTGCGATACGGACATTTTTCAGGGGATTTCAGCCAGGTAGATGTGTAATGTCCTTTGTCCCTTCTAGAACGTTGAAGTCATGGACAAAATCATGCTGTGTGTAGTGAGCGCTTTGTTTTCCCTGGGCTGCCATGGATTGTCGTCGTAACAGCAGCGTGTACTCCAGCTCCTTGCTAGATGTGTGGTGGGGGCACTGCAGAGCATCCGAATGATCCGCCCGCTCTTAGCCAGAAAAAGGGCATTTCTCAGTTCCTGCTGTGCTGGTTTTTTGCGGATGGCCAGCGCTGTTAATTGCAGTGGAGAAGGGAGAAAGGCTGTGCGCTGCCTTGGCACTCCGGCAGCAGGGGCTGCCGAGCAGAATGCAGCCACGACCGCGAGAAGCCGTACATTTCACTGAAAATCAGCGCTGGCCCCTCCGTCTTGTGGCCGGGAGGGAGGCGGGTCGGTCTGATGCTGCGTTTCTCGGGCTATGGTGGCTTGCAGGCTTTGTGTGAGAAGACGAACATCCCACGGGAGAGCGATGTCACGCTTGGGTTGTTTCGGCTTTGGGCCTGGTGATGCCCGTGTGCGTTGCCTCTTCCAGATATGACTGTGGGCTGGGGTCTTGCTCCTGCAGCTGGAGGGGTGCAGCCACGAAGCGGGGTCCTGGGCTAGGAGGAGAGGCCTAGGTTTGAGCTATGGTGAGATTCTAAACGATTTCTATTAATTCAGGAGGATTTCTGGCCCAGTAATCAAATTAACCCCTAAATGAAATTCCCCTGCAGCCTAAATCCGCCGGCCCCGGGAACTGAAGTAGTGGTTGGATCGATGCATGGAAATGACAAACTGGGAAAACAGGTCTGCTGGGAGGACATCAAGCATGCAGGAGAAAATGGTGTCTCGTTTTCCCCAGGGGTGCTCCCTGTGCTGGGAGCGGGTTCCTGCCAGGAGGAGGTGGAGCGGAGGGACAGCGCGGGGCTTTCTGCCAGATGAAGGAGGATGAAGGCAACGAAATGCAGCTCCGGCTTTGCTGCCAGCAGCGTGGAGCCGCTGCAGAGCGGCCAAGCCCAGGTGTGCTTGAAGTGCCGGTTTTCCCTGAGAGGCAGTTAGCTGTAAGTATAGTTTGAAATGAGGAAACAATTCCCAGACGCTTGCAAAGGCTTCAGCAGCAGGGCCGCTCGCTCCCCTGGCTGAAAATGCCGTGAGCGTGGCTCAGATGCCATCCCAGCGCCAGGAGCAGAGGCAGACAGAGACCCACGCTGCTAGAAGCAACTTCATCCCCGGTGCAAACGGCGGATGTGGCCGGGAGCCAACGTTTATTGCTTGGCAGCAGAAATAAAACAGCTGCTGCTCAAATGGCCATGAATGAAACCTCCACTCCTCTGACTTGCTGAGCAAAGTCGGACTTTGTCCGACCCTCAGGAATTGCTGCAGATATGCTAAAGGTGAAGCGGGTCCCTGCTAACAGGGATGGAGATGCTTCCTGCTGGCTTCCAGTCCCAGCCGTGTCCTGCGCTGGGACTTTCTCCTGGGCTGCAAGCTCGCGTGCCTGCCCGCGCTTGCGTGTGCGAGGCACGGCCAAGCTGGGAGTTGCCCCACGCTCCAACTGCTGGATGGTTGGATGCGATGATCTTAAAGGTCTTTTCCAACCTAAATGATTCTCTGATTCTATGCTGCTGCCCGGGGTGCTCCGGGCCGGGTTTGGGGGGCCCCAGGATGCTCCGGGCCGGGTTTGGGGGGCCCCGGGATGCTCCAGGCTGGGTTTGGGGGGCCCTGGGGTGCTCCGGGCCGGGTTTGGGGGGCTCCCAGGATGCTCCGGGCTGGGTTTGGGTGCTCCGGGCCAGGTTTGCAGGGCCCTGGGGTGCTCCGGGCTGGGTTTGGGGGGCTCCCGGGATGCTCCGGGCTGGGTTTGCAGGTCCCTGGGGTGCTCTGGGCTGGGTTTGCAGGGCAGGCTGTGGGCTCGTCTCCCTGCAGCCTGGTGCACAAGCCTCCCCTCGGGCTTGGGAAGCGATGGAGAGGCAGCACAGCGAGGGTAAATGAAACAAGGCCCAGCCTGGGGGCTGAAAATGGCAGAAAACAGGGTGGAAGTGAAGTCAGTTTATCTGCTTCAGCCACCGGCAGCAGGGCAGCTTGCTTCCTTCCAGTCTTGCCAGTTCTTGCCTATACTAGCAGCTAGGAAGGGTTGTGACATTGATTTATTTAACTCTGAAATTGAATAATGGATCACGCCCAAACCATGCTTCCGTGGTGAGACAGCCAGTTGCACCTTTGGTGCCCGTTGCCTCTGACCGTGCCGGTTCCCGTCTCACACCTCCCACCCCAGCAGAGCTTTTCCTTCCACCCACGGCCCCCACCATCGCCCGCAGCACGCAGCCCGCGGGGAGAGAAGCGGCAGCGCTTTCCTCCATTCTTTTTGGCAGTGAGGAAACCCAGCTCTGCGGAGGACGACCAGAATAGCTTAATCGTTGCAGTTCTAAACAGATTTGTGCGTCCTTCAAAGCTGGAAAGCAGTACAGGACCTGAGCTTTCCCGAGTCCCGTGTTACAAAGGTACAGGAGGACCTGAGCCCTCTCCGGCCGACGAAGCTTTGGACTCTCAAGCAGGGAATGCTCTTTGCTACTTTTGCTAAACATTATCTCAAGTGTGGGCTGGGAAAACTTGCAGCTTAAGCGTACAGACCAGGCAAGGGACACAGTGGATTTTATTCAGATTTATTGAAGCAGCTCCAGGCTGAGTAATAAACACACACAACTGCTGTATATTAAAAAAAAAAAAAAAAAATGTACAGAACCAGCCCATGGGCAAAGTATTGTCATGTGTTAAGGCATTTCAGGCAACTGCCTCTGGTGCTGCCCGCATTCCAAGTCACAGCAGGGCAGTCCAGAGCCTGCTGCCAGTTACTTAAGAGCTTCCTTTGTCCTTTCCAGTAAATATCACTTAAAACAAGATAGTAAATGAAAGAAGTAAAAAATACTCTTCTGGTTCCTGCTCTGAGATCACATGAGTTAGGAGAAAACTTGGGAATGGCGCAAGCTGCCAGCCCAAGGAGGTCCCTCGGTGCCCGTCCCCTCCCCGGCCTGAAGGAAGGGGATTTACAGCAGCGGTTCCAAGGCAGAGCCGTGCTGCCGTGAGCCCTGCTGATGCTGCCAGAGCCACGCAAGGGCTGGCGTCCGGGGCAGGTCACAGATTTGCTAGGTAGGAGGAGGCATTCCTTCTGCCCGGGTCTTCTGTCCGGATCCTCGGTGAAGCAAGACACTGGCAAAATCAGGCGTGAAGCCTCGTAGTGCAGAAGGAAGTATTGCGAGAGCAGCGTGCAGCAAACCCGCCAATGCTCCCCAGGCCTCAAAACCTCAAATGCTCCTATCGTGGAGTGACGGCGGCTTATTTCCCTCTACATCCAGGAATTGTCTATAGGTATCGCAGGGTACTTCATTACAAGTTCATCTGGGTAGTACATCTCTCAAGGGGAAAAGATAGAAAACCTGCAGAGAGCTGTGATTTACTGGCATCTTTTCTGCCAAGAGCCTTTAGAAAGGTTTAATTCCAGTTGCAAATTTTTAAAAACTTAATCGCGGTGTAGCAGGAAAGAAATGGCATGAAAGGGACACCAGAGAATAATTAGAAGAGGAGAAACCCTGTGTTTATATGTAGACAGGGTTTGTCTTACAAATGCAATTACCAACCATTCTGGGACTAAATCCCAGCTATAATCTTGTTCTGGCACCAGCTCACAGCCCTCACGTCCCACAAGACATTTGGGTGCCACGAGCAGATTAACCGTGGCACCAGGAGGAGGAGGCCGTGCTAAAAGCAGCAGCCGGTCCCCCATGGCACCGTGCGGTCTCCCCCAGCTCCTGCAGACAGCCTGCCTGGTAACACAATTATCGCCTCGACGAGCTTTCCGAACCGGGGGCGACACCCAATCCTCCTCGCAGAGAGCATTCCCCAAAATCTTTGCATAGGCCAAGACTCAGGGGAAGGGCTAGGATGCCAGGTTAAGTGTCTTGTTATTTATACTAATCTTCTCCCCGCAGCATTTCAGCACCTAAAGAGATGGGTTTTTTTCTCTCTCTCCTGCAGGGTTTTAGATCCCAAACTACCAGCCAGGAAGCATGTTTCTGGAGCTGATGCTCGCACAAGGCTGTTCTCTAGGACGACTCCAGTCCGGATCCACATGCGTCTGCCCCTCAGGGTTTAACCCTTGTGCAGCGCAAAGTTATACAGAGGAGCTCTGGGTTGATCCGCAACTATTTACCTTCCAGATTCTTCGCCGCACCGTGACTCAGGCGGACAGGTACTTCCAGGTGCTGACGAAGGCGGTGGGGATGAGGGAGTAAGGCACTGTCGTGACGCTGCTCCAGGTGTCGGATGATGGGTCGTAACAGTCCAGCGTTTTGCAGCGCTGAGCCCCGCAGTAGCCCCCCACCACGTACAGTCTGTTACCCGACGTAACGGCGCGGCAGCTGATGCGCTTGGCGGTGACGTCCCCAAATTTGGACCACTGGTAGGTGTCGCTGTGGAAGCGGTAAGCGGAGCTGGCGGAGAACTCCGTGTCCCCCCCGATGACGATGATGTGGCTGCCCACCACGGCAGCGGCCGTGTACCTCCAGGGCTGGGGGCAGCTGGCGGGCACCGTCCAGCGGTTCTGGCAGGGGTCGAAGCACTGCACCTTGGGCAGCTTCTCCTGGTTGGCGCTGGTGCCGCCGAAAACAAACAGCTTCATCTTGGCTCCCACCACGGCGGCGTTGCTTACGCCTTCTCGGAGAGGGGCCACCAAGGACCATTTGTCCAGCTGCGGGTCGTAGTGTTCGACTTGCTTGAGAGAGACGGAGGGAGAGGCCGGGAAGGCACCGCTCACTGCTGTGTGGCCCCCCACCACGTACAGACAGTGGTCCAGCTCGGCGGAGCCGTGGCCAAACCGCGCCACCAGCATGGGAGCCGCTTTCGCCCACTCGTCGTGGAGGGTGTCGTAAACCCAGACGTCTTTGGAAGCGCCGTTCTCGGAGCCTTTGCCGCCAGTGATGTACACTTTGCACCCGATGGCGCAGGCACTGCACTCTTTACGAGGGCTCGGGATGTCGGCACGAGGAATGATCTCCCTGGTTTTGTGATCCAGCATGTAAATCTTGTCGCACATGAAGGTCTGGCCGCCGAGCAGCAGCAGGGCCTGGCTGACCTTGCGGGGTCGGGCACAGCACCCTGTCACAAGGCCATCGTTTTGCAGGATCTTCATTTTGCATCGTACGGCGTCGGCCACGATCTCCTCCCCCAGCTTGTGGCTGGTCACCAGCTTCTCGCAGGCCACTTGCTTCCGCAGGTAGGACTCGGGCAGAAGGGCCAGGCGGACGGAGCGCAGCAGCTCCGGCAGAACTTCATGGCGCTGGGGCAAATCGTACCGGATCCAACCTATAACAGCTTCGTAGACCAGCGTCTCGTCCTCTACCTCCAGCTCTTCGCTCTCCACCAGCTCC